GGCGCCCGGCTACCTGACAACCAGTTACGCCACCTCGTTGGGTCTGCCGGTGCTGTCGCCTCGGCCGGGCCCCGCCTGGACGTCCTACTATTTCGGCGGCGCCAATCGTCTGTTGCCACCCGCCTCGACCCTCTTCTACTACATCCCTGCGCCCATTCCGGCCGCCGTCTCAGCGCCCGGACTGCAGTATTGGAGCCAGACGCCGAACCCGGGCCAACTGACCGAGACGGCGGCCTCTCAATCGGCGATCTCTTCTTCACAGACGGACCAGATGATGCAGAATCCATACGCCCAGTACCCGACCGGTCAGCCACAGCCACAGCAACAACAGCAACAACAACAGCAGCAACACCAGCAGCCGACGCAACAGATACAGCCAATGCGACAGGGCCAGATCGACCCTCAGACCGGCTGGTTCTATCCCACCCTCTGAATGGGGTACCGAAGAGTAGACGGTCTTCTGTAGCTCACTTCTCCTGTAGCGCAATTATGCAAAGTGTGAAATCACCACTTGGCCCTTTGGGCAGAGCATGGCCACTTTCAACTAGACGCCTAATTGCATTTTAACACTCCCATTGTTGACTTGTTGACTTTTTCGCGTAGACCAGACGGGTTGTGCCCTACACCCTATCGCCACTCACGGGTCTGACGCACGACTTCGCCACCGGGGCTGCTAGGCCGGCTTCGATTTCGTCTCAGCATCCACTTTTCCTCCTCCTTCTCCTCCTCCTCCTCCCTCCATCATTACCATCAGCAATATCAACAATATCTTCTTCTTCTTCCTCCTCCTCCGCATCGTTGTCACCATCACCATCATCATCATCATCATCATCATCATCATCAATTTCTTCCTCTGCCACATGCTCTTCTATTTCCTTCTTATGCTGGGACTGACGATGAGGCAAACTTGCATTTTATCGGACCTATTCGAGCTATTTCATTTAAGGCAACGTCATGTAAAATTGTAGAAAAAGTGGGTTTCAAAGATTTTCTTAATAGATTGATGTTCTAGTTCCTTTCATTTCCTTTTGAAGAGGCGATTGGACGGGATTCGTTGGTTGGCCTCACCGGAAGGTGAGTATAAAGATATGTGCGAATAGGTCCTCGATGCACCACCCCGCGAACCCGATGAAACCTTGCTGAGCTCTCGTCCTTCATGTGATGTACATCGTCAGAGCAGGACACGATACTTAATTCACGATAATTCACCAAAAAGAAGAGGACAAGAAAGATGGCTGGCGTAAAACCGACTTATCTTCGTATTAGAGTAGAGTTTCGAGACTACCAGTAAATCAGTAGTATGAGATGTATTCACCCAATTTCGTCTAAGGTGATGAAGGACTGGTGGTAGAATTTTCCCACGATGATATGAGTTGGGTTGACGTTTCCATTCAGTTTCACATAGCCTTGCTTTCCCAAAAGTTGTTGTCATCCTTAAATGAAATTGTGTGAATGCATCTGATATCGAGAATTTTCTTTTCTTTTTCGAATTAAGTATTGTTGTCGTGACTGCCAGTAAATCAGTAGTATGACATGTATTCACCCAATTTCGTTAAAGGCAATGAAGGACCGGTGGAAGAAGGATTTTACCACAATGATATGAGTTGAGCTGACGTTTCCATTTGATTTCACATATTTGTGGAATTAAGTATTGTTTTCGTGACTACCAGTAAATCAGTAATTTCGTTTAAGGTGATAAAGGACTGGTAATAGAATTTTCCCACAATGATATGAGTTGAGCTGACGTTTCCATTCAATTTACAATTGCCTTGCTTTCCCAAGAGTTGTTCTCTTCCTTAAACGAAATTGAGTGAATACATCTCATACTACTTATTTACTGCTAGTCTCGAAAACAATACTTAATTCGAAAAATAAAGTTAATTCTCGATATGAGATGTATTTACACAATTTCGTTTAAGGATAAGAACAACTTTTGGGAAAGCAAGGCTATGTGAAATTGAATGGAAACGTCAGC